AAAGTGGCAGCTATGGAGGTTTTCTGCAGCAAGGAAGGGACCCTTGGTCACGCTTCTGCTGGAGGAGCCTTTCCTAAAAGGCTGCACTGTGTCTCCAGCTTGCTGAGAAGTGCTGTAAGGACGGAGGGGTGTGCATGGAGAAGTCTGAGGCACATGGAGAAGGCCGTTGTAGAGCTGATGCGAGATCAGCTGCAGGAGCGATGTTTTCATCTTTTTTCCCCATCCTGAAAAATCGATGTCAGAGCCGTGTGCCAGGCTGCACAGAAGTGTCCTGTCCTCCAGCAGCGGTCAGCCCAAAAACAGGAGTGGACTTCTCTTGGTGGGACAAATTCAGGCAGACTTGCCAGGGCAATGGTTAGAATTAAGACTGCATTGATTAGAAAAGCTGCTCCACTTCAGATTAGAAAAGAAAATCATATCTAGCACTTTTCTGTAGATACCAAGAAGGCAGATGGAAATGTAAATGCACGCACATCTGCCACTTCGAGCACTAATAGTAGTCCCTCAGTTGATGACTTGTAGTTTGAACAATTTTTAGATTTTATTTACATGAAAATTGTTTGGAGAAAATATAATTCACTATATTTTGGACAGCTGAAAATATTAGTTGCAAAAATACATAGCTTGCCTAATTAGTATCTTAGTGTCTCTTCAGGAAACCTGATGGTAGGACTGCTAGAAAAAAAGCCCAGCTACCCATAGCATTCCTCACTGCACAATCTCCAGCTGCAACTTCTCATGTTTATCCTGAGCCGTTTGGATCTGCTGGCTTCCTCCACCGGCCATGCGCATGCTCTCCACCCCTCGGCCAAGCTGGCTTGGTCAGGAGGCTGCTGCCCACCAGCCCCCTTTGAACTTCTGCCCTGGACTCGTGGTCTCAGACTGACAGCAGGACACAGCCGCGCTCGGGAGCTACCTTGCCTTCCCTCTCTGCACTTTCTTCTGATGAAAATACGCTCTTAATGGTTTAATTCTGCCCATGTCCGCAGAGCCCACAGTGTTTTCTTTCGTGAATTAAGCCGGGAGATGTGCAAGTCTTTTCCCTCTCATAACCCTTTTACATTTTGACTGAGGCCATCTCTTGAAGTGAATAAAAAAAGCACTCTGCAAAGATATGAAATGCCAGAGATTACTGAGATCATAGAAAAAGTGGAGAAATTTATAGCTATCCATTAAAGGCTTTTTCTCCTCTTCGTTTGCCTTGGCACAAGTTACCTATAAAAATTACCAGAAGAGTAGACCAGCTTCACATGAAAATGAAGCCTATATTTAAAATCATTGTCTTCATCCTGTTTTCTAGTTTTCCAGTCTTGAACCCAAAAACAGCAATGAGATTTTAAGCAGTAATTGTAATGAGTTCATTCTTCGCTTTATTTTTGAGCCTTCTCAGGCTTTCCTCCATAACCATGAGATCAGACTTTTTTATATGTTTTTTTAATGAAAGCTGAGATTTTTTTTTTTTAAAAAAGTCACAATACTTCAGGCTCCAGGCCTCAGAGAAAAACCAGACTTGGTGAAAATGACAGTAAAAAATTTTAAGAGTTGGCAACACTGACTAGAGTGAAGCTCGTTTTTAATTTGAACCATTAGATGTAGACCAAAAGACTAAATAGAGTCAAAGAATAGCAACAACAACAAAAGAAAGTAATATGGCGTTGCCAAGATCTTACTCCTGTGAGTAAAACATGTCTCTCTATGTGCCAGATCACTCGCGGTACTGGAGGACATCCGTGTATCTGGCTAGTTTTGTCTGGTTGGCCGTTCATCAGCTCTGTGTCAAGTGACAAAGCACGGCCAAGTCCTTATGATGGGTAACATCCCCTGTAAAACACTCCGTGTCACTGCTCAGCTGCAAAACCAAACACGTTTTTTGCGGTATATACAATAAGCAGATGGTAGTTGTACACATCCTTAGTGTTAAAAATGGTGACTGCGACTCCGATGCAGCTCCCGTGGGAGTCAGGATGTCTTTCCATTAGCTGGGAGTAGGAGCTTAGCAAGAGCGCAACGTCCCGTTGCATGTTGCTGTCGCTCTCGCCGTGGAGTTTCCCTGGGAGCAAAGCTGTACCAACAGCGAGGCGAGACCTGTGTGGGACACCAGCGGCCGTCGCTGCGTCCTCGTACCTCGTCCCCTGTGCCCGTAGCTTTGGTCGGGGTAGCAGCTTATGTAATGTGGGCTTAAAGGATTTCAGGGATTGGACCATTTTGCAAATGAATCAGCAGTTTCTAACCCCTCCCTGCTGGGATGGGATCTGTTTGCTTCGCAGGGAGGCTGCAGACTTTTTTGTTACCTGATGAAATTGACAAAATTCTGGTAATACCTCTTGCTTTGGAATTAAAAAAAGGACTTCTCAACAAAGCAAAGGGGCTAGAGGTTTTCTTCACCTCTTCTTGTGACTCCCTGCATCTTTTGTATGGATGTAAGAACAAAATCAAGGTTTCCTTTCTGTCCTGAATATACTCTAAGTACAACCCCTTTGCCTTCAGTTTCAGCTTTGCTGCCGCTGCTGAAAGTTGTGCCAAGCTCCGTACGGGGAAGAGCCGTCTCGCAGAGTGCGGTGCGGGGCTTGGCCATCCCAAGGCAGCCAACGAGAGCCTAGGGGGGAGCTCTGGATCCCGGCACCTGCTTTCCTGTGCCGATGGCAGAGGTAGGAGGACCGGCAGCCAAAAACAGCTTGAAGAAATCTTTGCAGCCGTGGCGCTCTGAGGCCCTGGAGCAAATGGCTTAGCCCAGGATAAATGAAGAGATTTTGGGTTTTGCCTCCTGGCATTGCATCCCGGGCCCACGGGCAGTACGATTTCACCACCTCTCATCTGTCAGCTATGCCACAGGCTGAAATGCAGCTTGGTGTGGAGATGTGAGACCCGTACAGCCCTCGCCTGGAGGTGTTTGCAGAAGGGGATTTGTCTCCCAGTTGAAGCCATCTTTGCTCTGTCTAACGTAAATAACTTGAGTGAGCATGGGACTTAGAGTAAACAAAGACTCAGACCAAGATGTTACCAAAGGCGAATGGCTGAAGGCTGGAGGAAGAGAAAACTTCTAGAAATCTCTGGTGTGGAATGGGATGGATGTAAACACTGTTTTTGGAAAGGAGAGGGGAATTGCAAGTGATGGTCGCTGTTTAAACCACAAGGAAAGGTAGAGGTGGAAGTTACTCTTTCATGCCTGAGTGCTTTCAAGAACAGCGTGCCACCGTGGCGAGGGAGCTGAGGCGACGCTGCGCAGCGCTCATGCTGCAGTGCTCTGGCATCTCAGCAGCAAACTGCTTTTTGGTTCCTTGCACTGTTAGCTAGCTGAAAAAGCTGCAAGCGATGAGCAAGCAGTGCATGTCTCCCTTCAAGAAAATCCTTTCATCCAGCTTTCGTTATTCCTTTAAATCTTCCTTTCTCCTGATAGGATCGGTCAGGATAAGAAAACAGTGGGATAAATGAGAATCAGGTGGTCAGTCATTTGTCCCGGTACTAGGTGCCAGGTTCATTCAGAATATGATTACTCGCTGTTAAAATTTGCTGCGCTGAGGAATGCAATATGCATTATGCATTAGCATACACCAATGTTGTCCCCATCACACAACAGCCTTTACCGTCTCCTGTTCACAAACCAAAGTTTCCTGGGGGCCTCCTGGCATGTACCATAGGCAAGTCAAATTGCAGACCGTGTAATCCCTTGAATTCCTAGGACATGCCCTTGTAACCTCGTGGACCTTCTATTTTCTGTGGAAGCTGGTCAACTGCCAACAAGCCCCTAGCGTGGCGGCAGAGTGGAGAGTGCTGTGGGACTGCAGCTCTCGGCGGGGAGGAGGCAGCCCGGGA